ATTGAACGCATTTTCTTGGGAATTATAACGTTGTTATATCGGATATACAAATTTACCATTAATGACGTAATTCTCTTCTCAACCCACAATAACCAGTTTTTATTCTCAGAAATGCTGGCTAATTTACGAAGCGATTTCAAGCAATATAGCATTAATACTTATCCAATTGAGTACTTTAAATACATTGTGCATTAATTATATATTAATGTGGGCCTTTATAGCATGTAATTCAAATTACGATACCGATACTAATACGGTATCGTCGAGACACCGGTATTGCACTACGTTCCGGGGGATATAGAATACATTGAGGGGAATGAGAAGAGCCGAATTTATCAGAACTATTCATTACTGAATGAATAAACATACACATATATACACTTTACATGTACATAATCAAAAATATCATCCAATTCGTCAATTTTGTTAGGACTGTCAATCAAGTAAATTTTCAGTTCATACGTGTGAGTGGTATATTCAGCAGGTAATTGNCAATATATTCACATATTAAATAATTAGATATTAAGTAATGGGTAACTCTAACATATTTTGATAGAAGAACAGAAATAATTGCCGGTTTCTTCAGAAAAAACTATTCCTTGGGTTGCAACCACAAGTTCCAGAATCTAAACGATACGGAAATTTTGCAGTATGCAAGGAAGGGTTACAAACTCAAGTGGATGGAATCCTTGGAAATTCATGAGCATAAACATTGTGGGTGCAACCTGTTGAATAATCAAATCGATCTAGTTTACTCACTGGTTTTCAAATTTGCACATCCACATGGTCACAGGTAAACAGGGACTCAGTTAAGTTGAGTACTCCTGTTGTTACCTAGAGTGGTGATAAATAAGGGCTAATGTAATCAATCACTTTTGGTTTAATGTTTAAGTTTGAAAATGTCCTTATAGGACGAAACTGCAGTATTGTTAGTTACAAATAAAATTGTTAAAAAAACAGAGAAACTTTCAATCCTCATTTTTCATGATGATTTCCTACCATGTAGTTACGTCTACGTCTATCAATTTATTGAAATATCCCATTATTGTTCAATTCCAAACTCTCTCCATCGATAAAATAAAAAAATTCAGCTTTTCATTTTCTCAAATCTAATTATATTTCATCGGTTTCCGTTTCAATTTGAATGTTGCCTAGAACAAAATTTTTTCTTTTTGTCACAAATGCACTCAATAATGTTGCATATTCAGTATAAAATCAGTATATTGCACCCACAACCAATGCAACAATTTTCTTATTCGAATGGAAGAAATGGAAATGGAACAATAATGCCAAAAGATATGCACTGGCTTCTATCGGAGACTTGCCATTGAACTCTCACTTCAATGAGCTGAAGACGAACAAACGGTATCATTCAAATAATGTAGATTATTGTGTTACAGAGTGGATACTTAATAGGAATATTGCATCGAATAGGCTAATGTGTTCTTCAAAATCTGACTTATATTTTATAGATATAGAAAATCTATGTTGATTCTTGATACTTCAATATTGGATTCCTTCCAATTGGAAATATATTTGAAAGGCAAAATTAAGAAAAATTCCAATTCCTGAATGGAAAACACCACTATCAATAAATGTATGGGAATGTTCAGGAAAGTGTCGATCTCAGAGAGCTACACCTGAAAACCTGAAAACAAGTATTGGACAGTAAATGTGACTGGAGTCATCAATTCCAGTGTTTAAATCAGCTTATCTCATCGGATATCACGATTTATCGAAAAAAAAATCTGAGTTACATGTCTCCAATCACAATTACGGTCCGCAACACTTATTCTGAATACTGAATTCCCAGACAACGAAAATGAGAGATAACGTGACATATAACCATTGTTTTTTTTTCATTTAATAGGAAGACATCAACATAGAAATACATTAACATAAATTAATGATTTATGCGAACTTGGAAGATGATGAATTTCAGATGCATCAGATCTGTACCACATTTTCTTGGCTGAAAACTGATTTGATGGGAAGCAGTAGGATCTTATCGATTCACTTCAAAGTTCAACTCAATACACCCTGAATTATTTTTGTGTTTTGGTGTATTTTTGTGAAAAATATATAAATTATCAGCAATAAATTAATACAAAGTGAACTAATCAACTCTAAACTCAATGCTTCTACAAATCCGATCAAAAACTTAATCGAGAACCACCCAGCCAAATATTTATTTCCTAAAGCGCTCTTCCCCAAAGTTACCACGCTTTAGTAGAAGATTCATTCGTCTAGGTCGATAACCATCCCTCACATCACTAGACAGTATCTCGCAACTGAATCGTCATCTGCGAGAGCTGATGCAATACCCGGAGAATTCGACAGGGACTTTTCGCATTTCTTCATTTTTTCCTATCCTAGCCGCCCCGAGTGCATGCATGCGTTGCAAGAAATACTGTTAGGTGTCCTATTTGGGTGTGGACAAGGTTATCAGTCACTATATAAAATAAGGTGCGATTGCAGTTATTCGTATCACTTGTTCCATATCAACTGAACAACATGAACTCTTTGGTAAGTAACATTTATTCATTTTATCAATTTCTTTCTTTCTCAATTTTTTGAAGTTTACTTGAACCAAATCCTAGAGTTCATACACAATTATTGTGTATGAATGAAACCATGCCACATCTCTTCATAATAACAGAAAATATTTGCAAAAAACTATAGTTACAATTCTAAATTTCATCCATTCAGTTCTTTTCAGTTGACGAAAATGGAAACGCAAAATATGATAATATGAATTTTGATGGAACTACTTACGACAAGTGGATATCAAATCATATATTGACTTTTCTGATAGTTTGTCGAAAAGCTAATGGTCATAATCACAATAAGTGTGTACTTAAGTCATGAAGATTTCCAAATTATTCAAATTTGCTTCAATTTACACACCAAGTATACATTATTACGATTTAAGAATATTTTTGATATTTTTGTTCAGCTATCGTTTTCATACGAAGGAAAATTCTTTTGAAGTAGTAACTTCTAACGTGCATTTCCTACCACGGAATATTTCTGAAATTTATGTATTCAGAAATAAATTCAGAAATATTTTATCACGATTTTATTAGACAAAAATCAGGGTTTCAAGTTTCAAAATCGAAAAAAAATTATCAATATACTTTCCTCTGTGTTTTTCTATTAATAACATTACAGTCGTTTCATATCTTTTATTGATTTTCCACTATGAGGAGATACAGATAGACAATAGTAGAGTAATAGATCTAATAATATTGTGATTTGTGGAAAATACTTGAGTTATATACGATATGTGTATGTGTACAAAATAAATTCTCAATTTTCAACAATAACTCATATGTCGGTTTCTGAGTAATGGTATGAGTGATTAAAAATATAGATTTGTCCTTCAGTAATAACGTATTTGATGGGGGATTGTAAAGAATGATGAAACCATAAGCATAATATCGGGAGACAAAAGTTATAATTTATATCAATTTTATATCAATACTTTTATCCAGAAAATCAACATACTTGAAATAATCTTGATAATAGAAAACAACAAAGACTTTCAAAAAATTCCAGTCAAAAATGTGCTTACTATATCACTTGCAAGTAGGACAACAAAACAAACCAGTTGTTTGCTTGTTTATTTTGTTATCAATATCATCAAATTCGATATATTTTTTTAAAGTTTTACATTGAAATGTCTTCAGATTATCAATACTAGGGTCTTCAAAGTAATATTTTGTGCATAGGTTGATAGAACAGAGATCGGAATACAAATAAGATTGATACAAATATCAACGAACCCACTGTTAAGCAAGAAATGTTAAGCAATGCAAGGAATGTTCCTAATCCTACCTCTTTTGCATATTTTGATTCATTTAACATTGTTTGCTTTTTTTACCTCATCATCGGTTCTTCTCGATTCTTGTGTATCTGTTTTGTTAAATATTCAACAGCAATCGCTCAAGAACTCTGATGAATAATCATGAGATAATTTTACTACGATTATTGAAAACACGTTGTTGATAACAAGATTGAGAACATTGTAGGAAATTTATTAACCAGTATCAGATCAGAATATTTTTCAATTCATAATACTACTGAAATATTCAAACAGATGAATTCCAACATAGCCAATAAAACATTTGACTTACTTTTATTCAAATTGAAGTAAATATCAGTCACATTCACATCAATGCAATATTGATCTGACTGGTTTTGAGTAAAGTAATAAAAATATAATTTCCTCATGAATCTAAATTTGATCAATCGATTGTAATTTTCCAGGCCGTAGCAATCCTTTTCGTAGCCGTTGCCTACACCAGCGCCAGCGGCATTGGCCTGGGTTATGGAGGTCATAGTGCCAGAGGTGCCCTCGAAGGTGCTCTTGGAGGCCAATGGATCCCTGATGTACCTGTAGCTGCTCATGGTGCTGCCATTGTGGGAGCACCCGCTTTGGGACTTGGTCTCGGACCAGCTGGACTTGGATTGGCTGGTGCAGGTCTTGGATGGGGCGTCGGAGGATTGGGATGGGGTGCTGGAATCGCAGGTCACGGATCCGCCAGAGGCGCTCTTGAAGGAGCTTTGGGAGGACAATGGATCCCAGACACCCACGGCAAATAGATGTATAGTGTTCATGGGGCTGATGTGTACCAATGATCTTTTCTTTCTTTGTAAAATATGGTGTAAATTTTCTCTTTCTCGAATAAATTTCGGTAACTCTATTTACCACTCTTAATCACTGTTTCTATTCACTTATTTATCCTTCCGAAATACATTATATCACACATATTCAACTATTAGATTTGGGGATAGAAGGAAGATTAACTCGAAACGGTTTGTTGAATAGATATGTTGCTTTCAGATATTCATTCAAATATAGAAATATGATATATTACCCACAATAAGAAAATCATAGCCTTCATTTCATTAAAAAATATTTAGAGTTTACTTATTTTTGACATCAATGTAATTTAAGAGTAGATGGAAGGAAAACTGTGAAATCTGCGAATCAATCATACACTACTTGCCAGTCCCAAGAATTTCAGCTTCTTTTCATGAGTGGCTAATGCTATTGAATTATCACTTGATTTAAAATCACATTCTTATTGCAAAATTATCTATTGAACTCATGTTAACAATTTATGTTCGAAACAAAACAATAACTACTGTGTACAATAAACAGTTAATAAAACAGCAATTCAATCGGATCCAATGAAACCAAACCAAAGAATTATCAAACTTTTCGTCATAATTATTTTAGCCAATTGTAAATCATGTATCAAACATTTCAGAAAAGTAATATAGGGTGTAACATAAGTACGTTGAAATATTCAAGTGACGTATTCCTGAGACAATTTTAAGAAAAAAAGTCTATATGAACTTGTGTCCGAAAATGCTTCGTTTCGGAGATACGGGGTATTGAAATTGAATTTTTTTGTTCGCTTTCTGAAAATAACTCTTGCAAAAAATAAGTTATTTGCACGAAATTTGGTACCCGGGGTTTTTTGACGTGGTAAATCATAATTTCGTATTATTTTCATGTAACATCTAGAGGGCGCTGCGTACGCTGTCATTATATATTTCAAATTGCCCTAACATTTTTTGACAGTAAACTTTTGGTACATGAAAAATCTAATTCCCACACCTTCTCCAAGTAAAAAAAGGACATCTCCTCCACAACGCTGGAGGTGATCGTTTTCGAGATATTTACAATTTTCTATATCGATGCATATTACTTAGCTCCTAGTGAAGTTGCTGAGAACATTACAAAAAATAAGTTTTGGATCTCATCAAAATGAACAACTTTTTCCTATAACATGTTCAATGAAGAATGAATCGTTTTCGAAATACAGATTGTTGCATTTTTTGAAAACATGGTAGGTTTTTGTCATAAGTTTTTTGCAATTTTAGTTATTTTCATCAAACTTGATACGCAGTATACCCATACAGACTTCTCCTAAACTGAGCATTATCGAAGTGCTTATTCAATCCAAATGAAAAAAAATTGTCAGGTTCAATTATTCAATTAGAAAGTGCTACATTTCGGAGTTTGTAAAAAAAAACAATTCGGAGAAGTACTATATTATTTATTAGGAAAATAAACGTATAAAAACTGAACGAAACAACTATTACAACAACTGTTCAAAGTGACGACCCCCAACAGTAATACAAGCTTCTGCTCTCCTCATTAAAGAATTCCGCACCCGTTGAAAAACGCCCGGAGTGTTTCTTATCATTCCGCAGCAAGCTATGATGCGACCCCTTAACATTTCCTCGTTTTCAATGGGGCTAGCATAAACTAGTGATATTAGGTGTCCCCAAAAGAAAATATCAACGGGATTGAGGTCTGGTGACCTTGGGAGCTAATGCTCAGTGCCTCCTATTCCTATCCATCGTTGGGGATATACTGCGTATAAAAAATTTCTTGCTATCAAACTGAAATGAGAAATCACCAAGAGTGATTTCGGGGACCAATAGGAACATCTTCCATAAGTTGAAGAATCTCGTGTTCCAAAAAATGTAGGTAAGCATCTCCATTCAAACGTAAGGGGAGAAAATAGGGCCCAATTAAATAATCCTCAATTATGCCTACCCATACATTGAAAGAGAATCTGTCTTGGAAATGAGTTTGCGTCATCGCATGTGGGTTATCTTTCGCCCAAATGTGATTGTTATGGAAGTTCATGATACCATTTCTTCAAAAATCAGCCTCATCTTTGACGAGGATTTTCGATAAAATTTGCGGATGTTGTTCGACTTTTCTTTGAAGCCATTGAGCAAATTCGATACGTGGTTGGAAATCCACGTATCGTAAGTGCCTGGACACGCTGAATATGATAAGGATATAAATGGTGTTCCTTTAAAATTCTGTAAACTGTCATGTGACTCACATTTAAAGTTTGACTAATATTTCTTGTATTTGTCTCTGGATGTTCACTAATTTCTTCGATAACCACCTCCTTCAATTCTACGGTTCATCTAGTCCGTGGCCATCCTACTGCAGAATTTGTTTCAAAGCTTCCACATTCGGAAAGTCGCCGGAAAAGATTCGCAAATGTCACTGCACAAGGAGTCACGCGTTGAGGATACCTTTCCTGATAGATGCGTCTGGCCTCGCTTGAATTTTCGTCAGCCAAGCCGTATGCAAAAACCATATCAGCCATTTCAGCATTCGTAAAGTCGGGGATGGTACCAAAAAATCACTTTATAAACTCCGAGCTGTGAATTTGTCAATCAATAGTTAAAAATGTGACAGCGAACTTCTATTTTCATAAACAAACTTTTATAGCCTACTCGATTTAATTAACTTAATTTGCAAGTGGAGAGTGACAAAAATTATTGAAATCAAATTTCGCTATGAAGTAATATGCATCGATATAGAGAATTGTAAATATCTCGAAAACAGTCACCTCCACCGTTGTTGAGGAGGTGTACCTTTTTTACTTGGAAAAGGTGTGTGAATTAGGTTTTTTTATGAAAAGTACCAAAAGTTTACTGTCAAAAAAGTTAGAGCTATTTGAAATAAATAATAACAGCGTACACAGCGCCCTCTACATGTTACATGAAAATTAATACGAAATTATGATTTCTCACGTCAAAGAAAACCCGGGTACAGAATTTCGTGAAAATAACTTTTTTTCTGCAAGTGTTATTTTCAGAAAGCGAAAAAAAAATCAATTTCAACACCCCGTATCTCGAAAACGAAGCATTTTCGGACACAAGTTCATATAGACTTTTTTCTTAAAATGGTCTCAGTAGAATACGTCAGTAGAATATTTTAACGTACTTATGTTGTAACGGAACGGTAATAGGAACAGTAGGGACTGTATACCGTTATGATACTTAACAAAATGTTAAATTAAATCCCTCAAAGACGACTTACCTTGAGTGGATTGCGACTGTCTCATCAGAGTCCTGAGATTGGTACCAGTTCTTGTGGTCGAAGCTAGTCCGTGTATCAAGAAGCACGATATTATGCGGTGTGGTAAACATAAATATTATCATGCATCTCGAAAACGAAGCATTTTCGGACACAAGTTCATATAGACTTTTTTTCTTAAAATGGTCTCAGGAATACGTCAGTAGAATATTTTAACGTACTTATGTTGCACCCTGTATATTCTCAAGTGTATATTATACTTTTATATTCCATTCAGCCATCGGTGTAATTTACTTAAGGAATAATCAATGAGTGATCGTTCATTGCTACTCATTTCTGAAATGTAATTACAAAATTTTGTCTTGTATCCTATATTTTCGAAAACATTTAACAGTGTCTGGTTTGACTTGCCTTTTCAGTTTCATTTATAATTTTTGTGTCTCCATTGGAATGGTCTCTCACAAGTATTTTACAAGCCACTCAATGATTGTATAATGAGTGAATAAAAAAAAATCCAGATGGAAAATAAGTAAATCTGATTGACAGAACTTGGATAGATTTTCTCAGAATTTACAATTCAGTTCCCATTTTCGAACAGTTTGATGATTTCTAGACAGTTTGAAAATTACATCTGCTATATATTCAGTAACAAACAGCTTTATGTATATCTCACAAAAAATCCCGAAATTACTAGTTCGTTGCATTAGAGAGCAAGAAAAATCCACAGAATTAGCGTTACGTGTATACTGAACGCTTCAGATACTGAGATGGTGAAGTAATATATGTTGGAAGTAGTCACGGTACTTTTTGGAGGACAAAAATGTCGCTGCATTTCAGAGTATTCCATTATTAGCGAGAAGTGATACACGAAAAACGGAAATTTTAGCTGCTGATATTGAAAACACACCTCTTGAACACACCTCTTTCATAAGTTTTTTTGATATTGAGTGACAGATTTTTAGAAAAGAGTTGATGGCAGTATATCCGTTGAAAGGTAACACTCAAGGAGATATATTCAAGGTCATTGATGAGTTTATTACTAAATCTAACATTAGTTATGATAAAATGGTGTCGCTTTCAACTGACAGGGTCCCAGCAATGATTGGCAAAGGTGTAGTAAAGTGAATCAGGGATACAAACTTGGGTATAATACCGTATCAGTGCACAATTCATCAGGCAGCCCATTGTGGAAAGCTTGATGCTACACTGATAGAAGTCGTCAATTTGATTAATTTTATGAGGTCTCATTCTGTTCTTCAGCACCGACATTTCAAGGAGTTACTTTCTGAATGTGATTCAGCGTATTCTGACTTACTGCAACACAACAATGTTCGTTGGCTAAGCAAAGGTCAAGTTGTTGAACGTTTCTGGCTGATTAAACTCAGATACGGAGGGAGTCAGAAAGCACTTTGAGTTCATAACAAACAAACGTAATATGCTGGTCGTGACTTTTCTAAAAGATATTTTGGAATATTCAAATGCGCTCAACACAGAATTACAAGAAAATAAAAAATTAATATGTGATCTGATATAAAGCGTGTCTGCTTTTCGGCGCAAGCTGGATATCTTTGAAAAAGATATTGCAAGACAAGAATTTATTCATTTTCCGACAATTCTTGAATATAAAAAGAACTCTGAAGAAGACATTGCAGTGTTTATAAAATTTCTGGCCGATCTTAGAAACGAATTTGCTACAAGATTTCAAGACTTTGCAGAGATCAACATTCGCCATTTGAAGTCGATGTAGCAGCAGAATGCACAGATGTGGCTGCCAAATTGTTCATTTTGTCAAAGGCATCACTTCAAATACAGATAATTGATTTGCAAGAAGATGTGTCTCTGCAAATGTATGAACC